CCCTACTACTCTTAGCCACACTCATTCTCCCCAGCCTCCCTTGCCTTGCTGGTCCTCCACTGTGCCTGCAGTTAACTACCTCAGGTCTTTCGCATTTCATACCCCTCTAGGAATATTTTTTTAAAGCATCCACATCCCTGCATTCCCTCACTCCCTTTAGGTCCCTGCCCAGCTGAAACCACAGCAAAGAGGGCTTTCTTGGCTGTCTTCCACAGATCACATAAACCACCTTTGACAAAATCACGTCATATTTCTCTCTGTTCCTTCACCTAGCTTCAAACGTCCTCATTATACATTATATGGTCATTTATTTTTTATGGTCCATCTCCTCCACTAACATGTAAATCCCTTCAGGGCAGGGACTTTGTCAAGTTTGTTTACTGTTCCAAACCAGTATCTTAATGCCTAGCACACAGTAGGAATAAGCAAGTGTTTGTTGAAGAAATCCTTAAAGTCTGAATAATTCATTTTAGGACAATTCAAAGTTAACATACTGTACACAGTGGTCAGTAAACTCATCAAATGCAGTACTACCACTCTAAGATATAATATAAAGGAAAACTTTAAATCTCAAAATAAGACTAAAATCATTCCATTAATGACAGAGCTATGGTTGGTTTTAGGTGTTCACTGAGACCTTCTTAGCCACTAAAAATGACATCAAGCCAATAACCCCCGCCCTTTCACAAGGCACCCCAATACAGTCAACACCAGTAGGCGCGTCTTCTCCAGAATCATTGGTGTGCTTTATGTCCTATCTAGAGTGTTGTTTTGGATGAAAAAGATCTGTATTTTATATATATATATATATATAATTTTCAATGTCCAGTTGGATTTTACTTAATTTTAATCTTTATAATAAAAGGAACATATTAAAGTGAAACTAAAAGTGATATGTATCTCTTTTATCCATTATAAATAAAAACAAAAACTAAATCAATATTAAAAAGTACTTGTTTCTGAACCAGAGAAGATCACTGTCTAACCAAGATGGCAAGACCAAGAAGAACTGCTGTCCACAGCCAGGAAGAACAGCAAGAGAGTGGGATCCCCGTTATGCTTCTGTTTTGAAGAAGACTGGAGTACTTACAAAAACTTCAAGAATCACTTATAACTGAGCAATCATTGTTTGCATGGCAATTTATTTTTTAAATGCAAACAAGGCAGAATGCTGAAAAAATGAAAAAAAAATCCCACTTACTGGAATAAACACCTTTATTATTAAACGAAACTAGTCACTTTATAGCCTCTTTGGGAAAAACTAAAAACAGGCAATAAGTAAAACATCAATAAATTAAAGTTTCCTTTGTCAGCATCTGCTCATAGCAGTTTCAAAATGTCATAAAACTCTAAAGTAAGAGCTTCCAGTTATTTCCTGTCTTAGAAAATCATCAATAAGAGAGATAAATAGGGAGCCTACATCCTGGGAACAAATCTTTACTCCACACACTTCAGATAGAGCCCTAATAACCAGAATATACAAAGAACTCAAAAAATTAGACAATAAGATAACAAATAACCCAATC